ATTTATTCAGCTTTCAGATGATGCATAATCTCAGCATGATCTCAATTTCACAAAATTGACCCTTATGACTGGTTTTGTGCTCCAGGGTCACATTTGTTAAATATACTGTGTATTTGTTAGCTTAAAATGCCCTTGTAGTAGTCACATATCTGATATTCTTCTGTTCGCTCCACAGTGCGGATGGGACGTATGAGGTGACGGTCTTCACCAACGCCATCGTCCTGTTCAACGGCAGCATCGCCTGGCTCCCTCCCGCTATTTACAAGAGCGCCTGCAAGATCGAGGTCAAGCACTTCCCCTTCGACCTGCAGAACTGCACACTCAAGTTCCGCTCCTGGACCTACGATCACACCGAGATCGACCTGCTGCTGAAGTCCGAGGTGGCCAGCATGGACGACTTCACCCCCAGCGGCGAGTGGGACATCCTGGCTCTGCCGGGCCGGAGGACGGTCAGCGCTCTGGACCCCACCTACGTGGATCTGACCTACGACTTCATCATCAAGCGCAAGCCGCTCTTCTACACCATCAACCTGATCATCCCCTGCGTGCTCATCACCTCGCTGGCCATCCTGGTCTTCTACCTGCCTTCGGACTGCGGCGAGAAGATGACGCTGTGCATCTCCGTCCTTCTGGCGCTGACTGTCTTCCTGCTGCTGATCTCTAAGATCGTGCCGCCCACGTCGCTGGACGTTCCCTTGATAGGGAAGTACCTGATGTTCACTATGGTGCTGGTGACCTTCTCCATCATCACCAGTGTGTGTGTGCTGAACGTGCACCATCGCTCTCCCAGCACACACAGCATGCCGGTCTGGGTCAAGCTGGTGTTCCTGGTCAGACTTCCAGCGTTGCTGTTCATGCAGAGACCGCAGGGAAACTCGGCCTGTCAGTGTCTGCGGCAGAAGCGCCGTCTGCAGGACCCCGGATCATCTCTGCTGGGCCTCGGTGCTCCTCACAGATCTGGCATGTCTTCATCCGCCTCCGCGCTGCTGGCCTCAGCTTCAGCTCTCTCGTCCCCGGGACACTTTAACAACAGAGGACCTCAGATTCAGTTCGGCTCCCGCAAACACGACTCCTCACAGGACCTGAGAGAGAGCAGGGCAGCTCCGGACTGGGGATCTGAGATCCAGGAGGCTGTGGACGGCGTTTGCTATGTAGCTGATCACATGATGGGAAACGACGACGATCAAAGTGTGAGTGACTGCTTCCCAGACACACCTTTCAAAGTCTCTTCTGCTCACCGAGGCTGCATTTATTTAATCAAAAATACAGTAAAAATGTGAAATATTATTATAATTTAAGCTAGCTGTGTTCTATGTGAATCTCTGTTAAACTGTAATGTATTTCTGTGATGCGCAGCTGTATTTTCAGCATCATTCCTCCAGTCTTCAGTGTCACATGATCTTCAGAAATCAGTATAATATGCTGCTCTGCTGCTCCAGAAACATTTCTGATTATTATCAATGTTGAAAACAGTCGTGCTGCACAATATTTTTGTGGAAACTGTGATGCATTTTATTTTTCAGGATTCACAGATGAACAAAGTTCAAAAGAACAGCATTTATTTGAAATAGAACTCTTTTGTAACATTATAAACTACTTTACTGTCACTTTTGATCAATTTAATGTGTCAGTACTGACAAGTTTTAATTTGTTACTTACCCAAACTTTTGAATGGTAGTGTGTTACAATTTCCACAAAAATATGAAACTGTGTTCAACATTGATAATAATCAGAAATGTTTCTCGAGCAGCAGATCAGCATATTATACTGATTTCTGAAGATCATGTGACACTGAAGACTGGAGGAATGATGCTGAAAATACAGCTGCGCATCACAGAAATACATTACAGTTAAAAAAAAAAGTATTATTTAATGGCAACGTATTTCTGACTCCAAACAGCTCATATTATCTGTAATGTCATATCATCCTAAGAACTCGTCAGTGAGATTCAAGGCTTGTAGAGTTTTATGGTTTCACTTGTAAATCACAGGCCATAATTGCCCTTATCGATCTAAAACATTAAATATTTGCGAACGGTTCAATTTGTCAGACAGATTTAAACCAAGAAGTTGAGTTTGAGGAAACACCAGTCTAACATCTCACTCATCCTCACGTTTCTCTAAATATTTAGTCAGATATTACCTGCACATTATGGGTTTAAATCAGATTGAATTATACAGTATAAGCTGAAAGTCATTTAAATTGAAAAAGAACATTTATTCAGCAGACACACAAACAGAGGTGGGATACAGCAGAGGTTACGCTCAGTCAGAGCCCATTGTAAGAGCATCGATCGTGTGCTTAAATCACTCTGAAGGAGAGAGAGAGACTGAATAAGAGTGAGCTTCAGAAAGTGCCGAGGACAGCAGTCTGAGAGATGGAGCGGCTGCGCTGCTCAAAAGCGGTGGCTCAGCACTGTGTTCCGACTCCATTTGTTTCCTTGTCCCTTATTAGTGCACTAATGCGTCGATAGGGTTATTAACGAGCCGGTCTCTGTGCCTCCGCAGGTCATCGAGGACTGGAAGTATGTGGCCATGGTGGTGGACCGCCTGTTTCTGTGGATCTTTGTGATCGTGTGTGTGGTGGGAACGCTGGGTCTGTTCCTCCAGCCGCTCTTCCAGAGCCACACCGCCGGCATCCAGCAGCCCAGCGCAGAGCCATCCAGACGGGACGGGATGTGAGGCCCGACCGGGTCGCCTGGAGCCGGAGATCTGAATGAACTGCTGCTTTATATAATCTAACTCGAACACATGAAGCTCTGATTGATGATCTGAGCATGAAACACGAATAGTGTCACAGTCATTGTGCCATTATTGTATTATGATGTCACTGTAGAGCATTTTCCTCACATCAGCAATCATTTGACCCACAAAGTGCTTGAAGCTCAAGCGGAGCCAAACGGAACTGCAGAGTGTATGATTGTTTTCAAACAGGATGCCATTGGTCTGAATCAACAGTTAACCCCGCCCACCAACTCTTGTTATTGGTTGAGCCATTGTCAGTAACTTTGTTTTCCACTTTTCAGGGAAATAAACCTATAAATGGCTTATTTAGTCTCTGCACATTAAAGGTGACACATCATGAAAATCTGACTTTTCCAGGTTGTAAGTGCTATAATCAGGTCCCCGGTGCATCTACCAACCAAGGAAACGTGAAAAAGATTAACCCAGTAACTTTGTTTTGGGAAGCCTTTTTCTGCAAGCGTCTGAAAAAACGAGCACGTCTGATTTCGCTCGCTTGGTGACGTGGCAAAGGATCTCATTATAATATCACCGCCCCTTAATCTGCACGTTTCCAGCCATGGCACCATCATTTGATTTCGCAAGCGACAACGATGTAATGCCATGGAGAAAGTTTGAGCAAAGCATGCTAACTGTTCTGTGTTTGGCTGCACAGACGAGCACAGAACACTGTTTAGTGTCCCAGCCTCAGAGACAACAGAGCAGTGCATTTACTGATTTATTTAATATACATTGCTGCTGCCACACAGATCTAAAATCTCAGCTGTTTACCTTCACAGACATAACCCACTGTTTTTGTAACTCGTGTGTTTTTAAGGTAAGCTTGTGTGTGAATGAGAACTTAGTTTAGTGCTCACATGCTGTGACAGCCGCTTTCTGTCCGTGTGCTTCGGATGTGTGCGCTCAGAAAAGACTATATCTGAAGTTTAAACTCATATGGTTTAAAACGCATGATTTCAGCACGATAAACATTATAATCAGAACCAAAACAGATGTGTTTAGCAGGTCTGAGCTGTAATGGCGCAGCTTTATTCTGGAAAAGGGGGCGGGGAGCAGCAGCTCATTTGCATTTAAAGAGACAGGCACGAAAAACAGCGTGTTTCTGCTTCCACTCAAAATAGCCATTTTCAACATGATATAATAAATGATCTGTGGAGTATTTTGAGCTGAAACTTCACAGACACATTCTGGGGACACCTGAGACGGTATCACATATTGTAGAAAGGGGGCATAATATGTCTCCTTTAAACCCGGATTATGTATCAATATATGATATGTATTTCAAATGTTCTTAAAAGGAAAAATAAAATGGTGTAGGATTTACTTTTTAATGATTTTCACTCAAACATTGCTGGTAAATTACACATAAACAGCGAGTAACTCTGAATTAAACCTGAAATCATGAAGTAGCTAGAAAGATTGAAATAGTATTTTCTCTAGAAAGGGGGCATAATATGTCTCCTTTAAACCCGGATTATGTATCTTTTTAAATGTTCTTAAAAGGAAAAATAAAATGGTGTAGGATTTACTTTTTAATGATTTTCACTCAAACATTGCTGGTAAATTACACATAAACAGCGAGTAACTCTGAATTAAACCTGAAATCATGAAGTAGCTAGAAAGATTGAAATAGTATTTTCTTGTAAAATGTTACTCAAGTTTTCAGTGGTTTTGATAGTTATGGAGTTTGTGGATTTCAGTCTGAATCAGCAGCTGTTTGAAACATGGCCTACCATTTCTTGGGACGCAATTGAGATTAGGGTCACACTGATATGGATATTATTCTCATATACTGATATTGATACTGATATTTCAGACTAATGTATTATTTGGATCTTTCTCTCAACCAGTATTAAATGTGTTCTTCATGGTAAAACTATCAAATCCTGCTGTGCTTTATCATGCAACAAAGTCAGAATCACATCATATGGCCATATTCTGAAGCGTCTGGCATCATGCGCGTGGCGTTGTTATGATGGCATGTCAGGTTTAGAGGTAGGGGTGAATTCAGGTCAATTGGGATACTTCTTGCCATTGAGATGACTGGGGGAAATGCCCATATTAACTTGATTTCACCTTAGTTTCACAATTCAGTGGCCGAATTTTGAGTGCATTGCGTCTTGTATTGTCTTTTCTCTTCTTGTTAAAGAGAGGCGCTCTCTCTCTCTCTCTCTCTCTCTCTCTCTCTCTCTCTCTCTCTCTCTCTCTCGTCTTACTCCGTCCCCGTTCGGACTCTGTTGGATTGATCCTCCATCAGTTCTCCGGACTGTACGATGAAAGCCAGACCTCTCTTCATTTTGCACACCTGCTGCTTTCTGTTCTTTCTTCTGTCGGGTGAGTAAAGCGAGACTGAGCAATGACAGAAACACAGACCAAATGTGCGAATAGTTTGGGTTTTCAATCATTAAAAATGCAAGCCAGTCGCAGGAAAAAGTCGGTTTCTAAAGCGCTGACCATCTGTGACAACATGCCCCAATAGCGGCGCACGCTGTCACAGAGTATGGGGTAAATTGTCACAATGCAAGCTGGCATTAAACAGCTCTTTTTAAAAACGTTTAACGTGTGTAACAAATCGTTTCAGCACATCTAAGATACTAAATTGTAAAATGTGTATGTGCATTTAGGTCTCATAACAAATCATTGTAACAAATGTTTTTTTTTATTATCTTGCAATCAGGATTATATTAGAAGTTAATTCAGGATAACTAGGAATTTTTTTCCCAGTCATCTCAATGGAAAAAGTATCCCAATTGATCTGAATTAACCTCTATGTATATGTGGGATCAAAGATATTGTCAAGAAAAGAGGTTTAAAATTGATGCTGATTACTTTACAATCTGGTGTTATTGCCTCCTTAAGATGAATGGCTTTGCTGTATTCTTCATTTGCTAAGTTGCTAATGCATGTGTTCAGATGCTGTCGTGTACTAAATGCACTAGCTGCTTCTCTGGTGGTGCGTGTGTTCTTCTGAAGCAGTCGAGCTGATGATGTGCTGTAATGAACGTCTCTGGTCCAGATTCAGGGGTTTGTGGCTCTGAAGCCGAGCACAGGCTCTTCTCGGTCATCTTCTCCAGTTATAACCAGTACATCAGACCGGTGGAGAACGTGTCCGAGCCCGTCGTCGTCCAGTTTGAGGTGTCCATGTCACAGCTGGTCAAAGTGGTAAGTGCCTGTCCAGAAAAGAACAAATGCAGGCTCATTTCCATATGTTACCCCATGCAGTTTCAGATGATTTGAGTGTGTGGTGGGGCCAGACACATCTGTTACCCGCACGATGAGTCTGGCTCTCTTCAGAGATGCTTGAGTTTCATCGGCTGCAGCTTCAGAGTCTCTGCGCTTGATCTCTGACCTCAGACACGCACCGATCCGTCTTCTCATCTTTCCTCTTCCTTCCCCACCTCAGTCACGGAGAACATCTCACTTCTATTAAACACGGCGTCTGTCGAGCTTTATTTCCTTCCTCGTGTCATTCTTTCTCATTTCTTTTCTCTAGATTGTTTAATTCAACCTGATAATAATAAGGTCTGAGTGCAATTTCTCTGCATGGCATTTCTGCCGTTTGCTATGCTTTAAAGCTTAGGGAGGTAATTTCATGCTTTTTTGGGATGGGAGCGCAAACAACAACATTACACAGATGTGGTGGGGCCAGACACATCTGTTAGCCGCACGATGAGTCTGGCTCTCTTCAGAGATGCTTGATTTTGGTCTCTGAGCTTGATCTCTGACCTCAGACACGCACCGATCCGTCTTCTCATCTTTCCTCTTCCTTCCCCACCTCAGTCACGGAGAACATCTCACTTCTATTAAACACGGCGTCTGTCGAGCTTTATTTCCTTCCTCGTGTCATTCTTTCTCATTTCTTTTCTCTAGATTGTTTAATTCAACCTCATAATAATAAGGTCTGAGTGATGCTGGAAAAAAAGGCATTTCTGCAATTTCTCTGCATTCAGTCATATCCGTTTGCTATGCTTTAAAGCTTAGGGAGGTAATTTCATGCTTTTTTGGGATGGGAGCGCAAACAACAACATTACACAGAATGATTTCAGTATTATATTGCAGAGGAAATCTAAATATGAAGTTCTGAAATGTTCTCATTTCTCTGCCGGCACCTTTAGTGGACTGATTTTAAATTTTGACAGACTATTGGATTAAAATGGGCTCACATTGATATAGATGACATTCTAAAGGCATATAAGGAAGTGTATTATGTATAAGTAACAATGAACCCATATGGCAAAACCTTTTTTTTCCCTGGCCAAAATATATTTTGAAATATATTTAGAAATTGAATATAAATTTAGTTTCAAACTTCATATACCAAAATATATTTCAGCTGCAGGACAATACATGTCCAATCGTACAGTAGCATACATGTATGTGTTATATGTTCACATGTTTTGTAGACGACAACGTTTTTCTTCAAATGTGACACATTCAATGTTATTTTAGTATTGATATATTATTATAGTTTTTGAATAGAATGAGATTTTATTGTTATATCATCTGTTTTAATTTGTAAAGATTTAGTAATTCTGATGTGTTTTTTCATTTTTATTAATTTCCGTTGTTTTTAAATTCATTTTTTATTTCAGTTTTAGTTTGAATTATTTTAGTACATCAATTTAAACAATGAAAATGAGAAATGTCGCCTTAGAAACTAGCTGAAATAAAATAAGTTTAAGTTTTTATGTTTTATTTTATTTCAGATTACATTTATTTTAATGTTTGTAATGGTTTAATGCTAGTTTTAGTTATAATAACCCTGATGTAAATGTATTTTCTTGGATTTAAATATATGGAGGACAAAATATTTTGAATATTTATTTTTATTTCTAAAATTTTGAAATATTACAATATTTAGTATATTTCAAAAATTTACAAAAAATGGTCAAAAAATATATTGGTAGCAAACATTTTCAGACTTTTTTGTTGTTGTTTATTTTGAAATATGTTTCAAAGTAACACCTTTTTTTCCCGTATATGGGATTGTGAGAGTCCATCTTTCTGAGCATTCAAGAAAACCTCCACAAGCGTGGCACTTGAAACGTTGAGCTGTACACATGGAGCATGTTTGCGTGCAGCTGGAGGTCCTTCAGGCGACGGGACTCAGGTGTTCCTCGAGCACAGCCCATCTGCTCGGGTTCGGTCCGCTCGCTCCCTCTCACACTGACGCCTGGAGGATGAGTGCTTATGACAGCATGCTTCTTCTTCAAGCTCTGAAATATTAATCCAGAGCTGTGTTTATTCCGCCGCAGGTGATTTGTCTGCGACTCTTAGACTCTCTCTGTTACTTTTTCCACAGGATGAGGTGAACCAGATTATGGAGACCAACCTTTGGCTGCGACATGTAAGCCCATGCATTATTCATGCACATCCAAAGGTCACTGATGCATTTAGACAATTGGTCACAATTGTATTCACTATCTTTGCGGTCACTGTTTACAATGATTGGTGCAGCAGGTGGATTTGATTCCCAGTGGAATACAGATCTGAGATTTTGAAAATACATGTTAAGGAGTAATGAAACCATATGAGAAACTTATAAAGGATACCAAAACCCCATTAAGGCAAGTCAGTCCACTTGATTGACAATCCAGATTCAGATTATTGATGATAGATTTCAGATCAGCAATGCAATATTCATTAGATTCACAGAACATACATTAATGAATTAATTAATGCAAAAAGGTGACGCCAAGTTTATTTCGTTTCTTGCTTTAGACCAGTGAAGATTATTTATAATGATAGGGAGTCAAACACGGCATGCAGATGATGCAGAATTTGATGAAGTTGGAGGATTTTAATCAAATATTGGATTTTTCTCAATTGTTGGTCCAAGCTGATGAACGGTAAGGGGTCCCTGGCTCCAAAAAGTTTGAAAACCCCATGATGTAGCTGCTATTATTATATTCATATAGGCATTTGGTGAAAAATAAATTGGACTGTGATCTCAGTCATATCGGTTTGCAGATGTCTAATTACCTGAAGATTGGAAATGGTCTACTTAAACAAGACAGCGTTAGATCTCATAATTTGTTAAGAGAGTGATCATGTGAAGAGGAATAATTAAAAACTCATACAGCAAAGAGTATTGTGACCTCCTCCTGTTCATTAACCCTTAAATGGCAAATCAGTAATCACATTTAATCAAGCTAATCAAATTGAATACCAACTCTGCATGTATTGACAGCGTCAGTTCTATTAAATGTGCCTTGAGTTGGCATTGCCTCCCTAAAATATATAAAACAGGGCAAACGGGATGTGTGTGTCCTGCGTGCCTCCTTTCTTTCCTCTCGGTGACGAGGGGACTTTGCTGTTGTTTTGCCAGGTTTAACCTCAGGGAGTCTGGAGAATAATAAATGAGAGCATGGCTTACAGCAGCGTCTTTGAAACACACTCAACATTTTGCTGCATAACACACAAACATGCTGCTTCATATTTTGTGCATACAAACCCGCCAAACTACGCTGGTGTAAAAAAAACATTTTTGGCAACACTTTACTTGAAGCCTTTATATATAATGCATTTTGCAAGTATTTTTAATGCATTAATAATTCCTTGTAATGCACCTTATTGCATGATCTCTTTAATAATTGTAACCCCATTTATAATACTAATCGTTGTTAGAAAGCATATTTAATGAAAACACATGACAAACAACCAGTTTCAGCAAGTAATCTGCGATTATTATAATGCATTTTAACTTAAACTTTATTTTTGAAAGGATGTTATGCATAAAAAAAATGCAGTAAAACAGCCAAATTCTGACAGTACCATAACAGTAATGTACTGTAGAAAAATAATGCATTCTAGGCAATATTACAGCACATTCTGAATATCTTTATAATGCATTATACATAAAGGCTTTAAGTAAATTGTCAATAAGTAATTGGCAGTGAATTTCACAAAGTGATGCATTGAATTTTGAACATTAATTTTTGAAGTAGAAAAACTGAAACTGTATTTTCTTGCAAAACGTACTCCAGTAATCTTTTTTTTTTTACAACTTTGAAAGCTATGTAAGCCCATTTCCGCCACTGAATAAAAAATTAAACCAGGTGATTGCAGCTTTTTATCTCACAATTCTGACTTTTTCCGTGATGTAAACTTGCAATTGCATGTTATAAAGTCAGAATTGCGAGATATAGACTCCAAAAAAAAATCAGAATTGTTCGATTCGCAATTACCTTTTTTATTTGTATTCAGCAGCGGAAAGGGAAAACTCATTTTTGTTCTGTGTGTTCCTACTTTTCGTAGATTTGGAACGATTATAAGCTCAGATGGGATCCCAAGGACTTTGGAGGTGTTGAGGTCATCCGTGTGCCGTCCAAGAAAATTTGGAAACCAGACATTGTGCTGTACAACAAGTAAGTTCTCCGTTCTGCTCCTCGCTTCGATATTGACCTCGTCAGTCCTTCACCATCCGTTTCTGTTTCCAAACCGCAGCGCAGTCGGTGATTTCCAGGTGGACGACAAAACGAAAGCTCTACTGCGCTACAACGGAGACGTCACCTGGATCCCACCGGCCATCTTCAAGAGCTCCTGCAAGATCGACGTCACCTTCTTCCCGTTCGACTACCAGAACTGCACCATGAAGTTCGGCTCGTGGACCTACGACAAAGCCAAGATCGACCTGGTGCTCATCGGCTCCACCATCAACCTGAAGGATTTCTGGGAAAGCGGCGAGTGGACGATCATCGACGCTCCCGGATACAAGCACGACATCAAGTACAACTGCTGCGAGGAGATCTACACGGACATCACGTACTCGCTCTACATCCGCCGGCTGCCGCTCTTCTACACCATCAACATGATCATTCCCTGCCTGCTCATCTCCTTCCTCACCGTTCTGGTGTTTTATCTCCCGTCCGACTGCGGAGAGAAGGTGACCTTGTGCATTTCTGTTCTCCTCTCCCTCACTGTTTTCCTCTTGGTCATCACCGAAACCATCCCGTCCACGTCTCTCGTCATCCCTCTGATCGGAGAGTACCTGCTCTTCACCATGATATTTGTGACTCTGTCCATCGTGATCACAGTGTTTGTGCTCAATGTGCATTACCGCACGCCTAAGACGCACACCATGCCCGGCTGGGTTCGGAAAGTGTTCCTCGGTCTGCTCCCTCGGGTCATGTTCATGATTCGGCCTGAGAAAGAGCCGGAGAGGAAGAGCAGATCCTGTGCTCTTCACGCTCCAGGTCTGGTTTCCAGCAAGCAGACGAATGTTTCGCGCCGGGCTCCTCTGCTGCTGTGCTCCTCTGAGCTCACCAACCTGAGCGAGGCCTCGTCTAAGACGCCGCCTGGCTTTCTGTGTCGAGACGGACGATGCCTGGGGAAGCAACAAGGCACTAACGTCTCCAGCGCAGGAGCAGAAGACGGAGGGAGTCCGTGCTCCAGCTCTGAGTCTCTGGACGCTGGGTTTCTGTGCATGTCTCCACAGGTCAGAGACGCCATAGAGAGCGTCAAGTACATCGCCCAAAACATGAGGCTACAGAACGAGGCCAAGGAGGTGAGAGATCTGACATCAAATCAGTCCATAATTCATTGTTATTGTTGACTCGTTTTATTCCTAGGTCTTCAGTATTTAGTGTTAAACAAGCAGGGGATCCTGCAAGGAGAAAAATAAAGCACGTTTCTGCTTCTGGAGTGCTGAACTCTATCAGCTGTCTGTATGAGTCGTCTGTGTGTTCACTTTAACTCTGTAAAGCCTGACTTAGGAAATAATGGAATGGAATATTTTATGAAATGGAACAGTTTATTGGACCTTTAGACAGAATCTAAAAAGTTAGTTTGCGTATGTGCTTTTCGTTGAGTATCATATTTAATCCATCAGGCTTCTATGGCTCATATACAGTGAGAATATGGAGACAGTTTGGTACAGATGCTGATATTTATATGATGAATTTATATTCTGATGCTTGTAATATAAATCAGTGAGATCTTTCTAACAGTACAGCAGATACTGATATAAAATGATCTAAATATCAG